TTTATAAAATTCTGAATATATATTTTTTTGTTAGTATATAATCAAATAATTATAATATAATAACAATAATATATTTTTTATTAATGATAAAATATAAATAAGAATTATACTATAAACTTAGTATATAAAATATAATATAAAATCTATATTATATAATCAAAAAAACTTAAAATCAAATTGAGATAACTTGAATTTTTTTAATTATTGATAATTGTATTTATATATATTTTTATATTATAATAATATAATCTAGTATAATAATATATAATATAATATAATATAATATAATTATAATATAAAATATAATATAAAATATATATATTATTACTATAAAATTATTAATTTTTTTTAATAATATAAAAAGTTAATTATATTAAAATTAATAATCTTGTTCTATACTAAAATAATAATACTAAAAATAAAAAATAAAAGTTAAATAAATATAAAAAATAATAAATATGTCAAAAAAATTATATAATTAATATATTTAATTTAGATAACAATAAAAAAATAAAAAATAACAAAAAATAAATAAAAAAATAAATTATTTTTAATTTAAATATATAATTAAAATATTATTAAGATAATTTTATATAATTATATTTTTTATTTATCTATTTATTATATTGAATTAATAATAATATATAAATTAATAGCTTTAATTATATTTATAATTTACTTATAATTATAATTTATATTTTTTATTAAAAAAATATTTATATTAATATAATAAAAGCAAATTAATAATTATAATTATTTAAAATATTTTAAAATTTATATAAATTTATAAATATTAATTATAAATATTAATTTTATATATTAATTTATAACTCTAATTATAATTTAAATCTTTATTTAGAATTAATTTGCCAATTTATTAATAAAATATTCAAATTTGAATTTAATTAAGTTTAATTTAAATTTGAACTATAGAAATATTACTAATTAATAAGTCTTAAAATTTAAATTTTTTAACTTTAATTTAATAATCTAAAAATCAGAAAATTTATTTTGTGTAATCTTATATATACTCCTATACTATATTACTGAAAATTGAAAAAAACACAATAAAATTGACATTATTACCTTATATTAAAATTTTATTAATAAATATTTTTTATTTTTATATTCGAATATTCTAAAATATATATAAAAAATATAGATTATCATCATTATTTTAGTATAAAAATAAAAAATATTTATTAAAAAATAACAAATTTTAATATAAAGTAATAATATTAATTTTACTATATTTTACTATATTTTTTTCAATTTCTAGTAATATAGTATAAGAGTATATATATAATTAAAACAATTTTATTAAATTAAATCTAAAAAATATATATTAAAAATAAAATATATAATATTATTATATCAAAAAAATTTTGAATAAAAATATTTAATTTTTAAAAATTAAGAATTTTTGAATAAAAATTTTTTAATTTTAAAATATATTTTTAATTATTATTCCAGACAAATTTGTCTGAAATTTTTGAATCATTAAAATTTTTTTATATTTTTAAATTGTCTAAATACAAATAAAAATATTAAAAAAAATTCTTTTAACTTTTAATATAATTTTAATATAGTTTTAATTTTACTTGAATTATATATAAATTTAAATTATATTTATTTAATTTAATTTTTGTTTATTAAATTTATTAAAATAATATAAAACTTTATTATTAATAAAAAATTAAATATTATATAAAAAATAATATTTTTTATATAATATTTAATTTTTTTAGACAAATTTATTTGAAAATAATATATAAATTAAAAAATAATATTATTTTTATTTAATATAAAAATTGTGTTTTTATATTTTTAATATATTTCATTAATAATTTTTTTATTTTTGATTATTATTATAATATTATAAAAAATATATAAATTTTTGTAAAATTTTTGATATTTAAAATATTATAAAAATATTTTTTTAAATAAAATATAATAAGAAATAACAAGTTATATTTATTTATATATAATAACAATAAAAAATAATATAATAATATCAAATTTTATTAATATAATAAAATAAAAATTTTCACTTAATATAAAAGTTGTTAATTTTACTAATAAATATTTTTTATTTTTATATTAAAATAAAGATTATATTACATATTTATATATATAATAATAATTAAAAATAATATAACAATATTGAAATTTATTAATTAAACATAGTAAAATATGAATTTTTCTTTTTATATAAATATTTTTAATAACATTAATAAATATTTTTTATTTTTATATTAAAATGAAAATAATATTACATATTTTAATATATAGTTTTTTCAGATTTTTTAGATTTAATCTGATAAAGCTGTTCTAATTGTATATAAAATTAATTATTTTTTTAAATTAAAATATATATGTAATTAGAACAGCTTTATCAGATTAAATCTAAAAAATATGTTAAAATATGTGATATTATCTTTATTTTAATGTAAAAATAAAAAATATTTATTAATAATATTGAAAACTTTTATATAAAGAGAAAAATTCGCATTTTACTTTATTTAATTAATAAATTTTAATATTGTTACATTATTTCTGATTGTCACTGTATATTTTTTTCTAATTATATATAAAATCAATTATTTTTTTATAATTAAAACATATAAAAAATAATTAATTTTATATACAATTAGAATAACTTGATTAGATTAAATCTAAAAAATCTGAAAAAATATATGTTAAATATGTAATATTATCTTTATTATTTATTAGTAAAATTGAAAACAATTTATACAAAGAGAAAAATCTGTATTTACTATATTTAATTAATAAATTTTAAAGTCATTGTATTATTTTTGATTGTTATTGTAAATAACAAATTTTGATATACTTATATTTATTTAATATTAATAAAAATAAAACAGTTTTTTATAAATTATTTAGTATTGACAATAATAATAATTATGATAATAAGAATAAAACAGTTTTTTATTTTTTATTAAGTTTTGTTTAAATTTTAATATATTAAAACTTTTAATACTTGTTATTAAACCTACAAAAATAATCTGGTTTATTTTTGTTTCTATTATAATAATTTAGTTGATAAGATTTTTGACTTTATAAACTTTCTTAATAATATGAATATAGACATGTTTTCATAAATCTAACACTTGCAAACTAAAAATAAATGTAATTGAGATACACAAAAAATCTTTCACATCTAACCTTAAAGGGCCATTTATCGAAGTTGAAAGCATGAAATAGCAGATGGTTTACTAAAGTGTTAGTCGTAGATTCTCTCGTGCCTTTATCGAGGCCAGAATTCTTGACGACATCGTGCAGTTTGTCGACAAATGTTTTGACGTAGTCATCAAAAATCTTGTTGAAATTGTCAACATCGAAATCTGGAGTGACGAAAGCTAAGTGATTAATTTCGGGAAGAACGTATTGTTCCGGAAAGTTTGTGACTAGACAATATTTAAATTATAAGTATTGGGTTCGCTAAGAGGATTGCTAACACAACGTAGTTCGTACCTTTAACATTAGGTATAACATCGTTCTTGGCTGAGGCTGGCTTAAAGCTCACTCGCAGTGCCTTAACATCTGATTTTTTGAATTTAGATGCTGAAAGAGAGAAGTAGATTGTGCCTGACTCATCACTAAAAGAGAGCTCGACCGTAGGCTTAGTTTTCGTGGTTCTTTTTTTGCGAAGTTAGGGAAAAGACTCTTGGTAGGAGAGTACTTGATGCAGGACGAGAAAAAGACCGAGCAACGAAGACAGTTTGAACAAAAAATTGATGATGCCCTTATTGAAGACGAGAAAAAAATAAAAAAAGATCGTGCTGATTATAATTAGCCATTATACGACGATCTCCTGATACGCGACAATCATTCTCGACTCATGATATCACGCAATATCAGCAGTCATAACATCCCCCCCCATCTCTGATTTATATATACATCGTCACATGTTCGAAGAAAATTATTTTTCTTAACCTGAGATGCTACATACTTTATATTAACCGAACTTAACTTCGAAATGGATAATGCCGTAAATGTTTTATTTGTTGGATATATATCATCCGTTGATTTTTATCATGCTAATACGAAAAAAAGGTCATAAATCTTTCGAGCTCTTTCTATATTGTAGGTTTGGAAACATCTTTCGGGAGTTGATCTTTAACTTCATTATTAACCTTCTTCTGAGCCTCGTGTTCCTCAAGATCTTTTATACTGGATAAGACGTTTCTAGTTCCTCTCCGAAATGGTAATAGCATCTTAAAAGTTCGTGACGCGCATCTTCATTTTTTCGGCATTGGAAATTTTTAAATACAAATTGAAAAAAATCTTATTCGAACTTCATCGTATAGATTCTCTTTGGAGAGCTTCCCTTTCCTTAACTTCGGAAATTCGTGGGATATCAGTCAAAATCTTTTTTCTTTTTGATTCATTTGTCATCTTTAACAGTTGTTGAACTGCGAATTTTTTTTAAGTTATTAAACCGTCCAGCGGGCAAATTTGCCCGCTAAAATTTTTTAGCTTACTTCTGTACATTTGCTCCTAATTTTTATAAGCTTACCCCCCCCCCCCCTTCTAAGCTAAAATAAAAATATAGCATATTTTTAATCAATATAATCTAAAATTTGTAATTTTTATTTATAAATTGCTCAAAATATCTGATTTATTTTGTAATCAATTCTGTAATTTTATTATAAAAAAATGAAAATAACTATTATATAATATATAAAATTTTATTTTAAATATTTTAATTTTTGGTAAAAATATATTAGATATAAATTTATGCCGCTCAACCTGACGGTTTAAGGGTTCATTTTTATAAGTAGTAAAATATTATAATTTCTAAATAAAATCACATTAAATTATTCTTGTGATTCAAGAAATTCAATCATTTAAATAAAGACGTTCTCCACGTTAATTTAGCATCTCGAAAAATTTTCAATGCTGTATGTACATCCCGAACTGTTCCTATTCCTTTAATACAGTAAAAAGAAGCACTAATAACTGTTCCCTTTTTCGGATCAATCAATCTCCACCGACTTTTTAAAGCAATAGAAAGCCTTACAAAGATTTTTCGGTTGTTCGATTCCTGATTCATAAAATCGTGCCAATTCAATTGCCGCGTCAAAATATCCAAGTTCTGCAGATTTTTTTAACCAGTACATGCCAAGACATTTGCTTGGCTTTACTCCGTAACCTTTCGAATGGATTTTCGATATGTAGTATGCTGCTCCGCCCATTCGAGATTCTGTTGCTTTGTGTAGCCAAAAAAATGCTAGTTTATATCTTCTATAATTGTAAAAGTACAAAAGTCCAAGTTCTTGTTGGCCAAGAGGATCGCCTAATTTTGCAGCTTTTTCGTAAAATTGAAGTACTTTCTTAATGTTTCTTGGCGTACCGAAGCCATTGGCGAAAAAGAATCCGAGTAACGTCAAGCATTTGCTTTTATCCCGATGTTTTTCGGCTATGCTGAAAATAAATTCGCGTCGAAGATTTGCTACATTTTCTATTTTACTAAGAACGCTAAGAAATTACTATAGTAATAAATACTATCGCTATTTTTTCCGTTGATATATATTTGATAGGCTTGTTCAAGTATGGAAATTTCTTGTGTTTCGTCAAGGGTTTTAAATATTACTTGTTTGGTTTATTAGTAATATGAGACGTAAAGATTTGCTGGAGGAAAGCTATCATTCTTCTTATCTGGAAAATAAATTGAAATCAAGTTTGAAGATATATTTCTTAACAGCACATCCTTGAATATGTAAACTTTTTGAATCTAATTGGTCGAGATTACGTGTCGTGTTTGTATTTTATTGCGTACAAAACAACTTTCTTTTCTCTTCGTTAGCACACGTTTTAGAATCTAATTCGCAGGAGAAAGGTGCCGGATCGAACACATAATCTTGAAATGAGTCACACGCGCTACCGATTGAGCTAGCCGAGGTTGACGAATATCGGCTTGAAAATTCTCGAAATCATTATAGCAAATGCATTGAATCTGTACATTATGTTTTTATAAATAAGTTCTAATTATTTCTCATAAAATGAACAAATGCTGGAATACAGTGTACATAATAAAAAGAATACAAGTCTCTATCAACAAATGCAGGCTAACTTTCAATATAAATGATGGTAAAAATGTTCACAGCAAATTTGTCACAAGTAATATCAAAATCCCAATATTGCAAAACGCTGTCATTCCGTATATACCGACATTTCCGCGAGTCCAAGAATGGGAGTTACTACTATCAGTGTTCGAATCGGTATTATTATTTCCTTTAGTCTTGTCTTTATTTTTCCCGCCACTCAACAGCGGTTGGTTTCCCCAATCTGGGCTGACATTATTTTTAGTTTTATTCCCATTATTCACCAATAATCCACCACCACTTCCAACATCAAATAATCCACTGCAATTGGTAGCAGTAATGTTATTCTTCAATTGTGCTAATAACGAGAGTATTGGCTGGAATGCTGATTTGAGTGGATTAGCACTCACAAAATCGAAATAGATTTTGGTGATTATTAGAAAATCTTGGCTGCATATTATTGACGAGGGGGTTTTAACAGAAGAGTCCATTTTGTCTGGGTTTTTGAATGAGTAGTCGATGTGTGTCTCTGGTGGAAATTGATAGGTTGTTGTGTAGACTACTTGGTTTGATTGGGCGTAGTTTTTTTGTATGTATTGGTAGCTTTGGAAGCTTATCTGATCCCAGCTATAACCTGTAAAATAAAACATTAATATGATATATACAGTACGTTGACGTGATTAAATATAGTATTACTAACCACCCGAGGAACTTTTGGCACAAATAGTTTCATATTCCGGAGCAGCAAAATAATAAACACCAAATAAAAAAATGATAGTTTTCCCAGTTTCATCATACGAATTCTGAATTTCATCTGCACAATCTGTTTGAATTTTCCACCATCCATGTTCCGCGGTTGTAGAATCGCAAGGATTGGGCAACGAACAAAATTTGTCAATCCCCTTTATCAACGCAGAATCGTCGTCATTTGAATTTTTTACTGATATCCCTACGGATTTATCGTCAACCTTTTTCCCGGATGATTTTTGATTCTCGGAGACAAAGTCTGCCAGTCGTAGATACGGTTGACAAATCAATGGTGAGTCTGGGTCGGTTAGTCGGGTGTGTGTCGAGAGTGAGTATAGGGTGTTTTGGCAGAGCGTGCATTTCGATGTTTTGAATTGTTTTTGGCAGTCTGCAAGTGTTGTGGGTAATGTGTATTTTGAAATTATCAGATAGCAAGTGGCTACTATGGTAAGTCTGTTGAATATAAACATGTTCGAATAAATGAATGATTATTTTCGGATAAAAGGATGACGGTTTAAAAACGTAAAAGAGTGTTGTTGGTTAAAACAAACGTAAGAGAGAAAAAGCAATATCATATAACATGAGTAACAATATTTCTCTATTATTTTATTTATGATAAAATTACATGCGGCTGTTTACCACGAAATGATAAGGAAATGCATCTTGCAGGTGCTTTGATTTACTTTTACGGTATTCATTTATTATCGTTATATCGATATTGAATAAACTAATTAATTTTAATATATTGAAAACAATAAAGACAAACTATAGGTACATGTAGTTTTATTGTGACGATGGATGATGGTATAACATTACATACATATCTTGTTTTCACCACCACTACATGCGATCAATTTTTTAATTCATAGTAATTAGATTTGTAGAACAAATAAAGTGGGTTTGTCCCTTTTGGTATCGGTATAGGATAAAGAAAGAAAATGTTGGTTTTCAACTATTATTATACATGTATATTCTTTGATTTTCGTCTGGTGCGGTATTCTTCGTTATATTTGGTAAAACAAAACGCATACTGTACATAAAAACGGGGGTTTTTCATTGTTGTAGTATTCAAATGGGAATTTGTCAATTACATGTACATGTCATGTACATGGCGATTGTAGCAAATCGGGATTTTATACACTATTAACGTACGTTAACCTATTGATGTTATATATAAAAAACCAATTCAGTAAACATGCATAATTTTAGTATATGTATACATTACCGTTACCATTATTTTCTTTTAATACCGATCCATAAAATATTTCATGATTAATTCGTGTGTTTCTTTTGGCAGTTTCGGTTTAAAAGAACAAAATAGCAACAATCATCATCGTAATGATGATATGACCAAATGTTTTTGCACTAATGATCCGCAAGAGGAAATTATCGATTGTGATGAATCAGTTTCATTGTTAGAAAATATTTCAGGAAAAAAAGTCGAACGAGAAGACAAACATAAATTTTTTCTGATGCTCCGAGACAACTTTCTCGACACAGTAATGAAATGTGAGCGAGGAGAAATCGCCCCTCGATACAAAAAATTGCTCGATTCCAAAGGATATAACATGCAGGACATCTTTCAGATCATACAACATCCCGAATACAAAACTCACCACGCACACTTACTTGGGATATTCTACGAGTATGGGATCGGGACGCGGATTGATTACGAGAAAGCCTTCGAGAGTTATAAAACTGCCGCGGAGAATAATGACATTCCGTCGTTTGTCTCCTTGGGAAATTTGTATAGTGAGGGATCGGGAGTGGGATTGAATGTTGCGGCGACAGTAGAGTGGTATCGAAAGGCGGCGGATCAAGGGTGTGTGAGGGGTCAAAATAACCTTGGGTGGTGTTATGGAACTGGGTTTGGAGTGGAACAAGATGAAGCGAAAGCTTTCGAGTGGTATAAAAAGGCTGCTACTAATGGAAATCCGCTGGGGCAAGTTGCAGTGGGAATTCGATACGAGCGTGGAATCAATGTGAAAGAAAACATGGACGAGGCTTTTCTATGGTATAAGAAATCAGCATTAGCAGGTGCCGTTTGTGGATACGCAAATCTAGCTGACTGTTATGCATTTGGAAAGGGAACAGAAAAAGACGAAAAGAAAGCATTCCATCTGTATATATTAGCAGCGGAAGGTAGTGACATTGACGCACTCTACAAACTTGGCGATTGTTACATAAACGGAATTGGTTGTGAACAAGATCCCCAGAAAGGCATCAAATTCTACGAACGAGGTGCTAAGCAAGGAAACAACGATGCCATATGTAAACTCGGACACTGTCATATGGCCGGAGTCGGGTTCCCAAAGAACGATCGAAAGGGTCGTTTGTTTTTTGAACGTGCCTCTAGTAATGGCCATTCCCATGCACAGTATTCTCTTGGGTTCTGTTATCGATACGGAAGAGGTGTGGTCGAGGATATGCATTATGCGCTGAAGTTGTTTTCGAGGGCGGATAGCGATGAAGCAATGGAAGAGTTTCTTGATGCTTTTAGATATGATGAAATATTCTGAGCAATCTTTACTGGAGTCTTTAAAAAATTATTATCTAATACAAGAATTGCTATCATTGCATGTATCGCCATTAATATGTATGTTTTCAAAATCTAAAATACACATTTTAAGATGTCTACAGCCTTAAAGTAGACCCATTTCTTACGTAAAAACAAACGCACAATCCGTCAAATTGCTCTCGAACCATGCGGGTAAAACGCCTTTCACTCCACAGCGAAAATCTTTCTTGCTATGAAGTCGGTCAAAGTAAAAAACTCGCGAGAAAATTCATCTCGTCGACACACCCCAAATTAGCAAGTTTCTCGAACCAATAGACCTTTAGCATTACCACGAAAATAATTTTTCGCGAGTTTGAATTGGGCGTCGACCATATTCACTACAGCGACTTTTTGGTGCCTTTACTGTAGTTATTTTCTTTTTGACTTCTCTTTCAATAACTTCTTCAAACTGCGAAAGAATATCTATTTCGATAAAAATCTCTGTAGCTTTGTTGAGTATCCATCGTCGTTTATAACTTCCATTTTTTTTTTACTCCAACCCAACCATAGATATCGTGAATGACATTACGTAACTCGATATCAAATTACGTAGCTGATCTGCGTTGTACATGTATTTGTTGTGTTCTAATTAGCGTTAGTGGATATATTTGTAACGATTACAAACCAATTAGATATACATGACATGATAACAAAGCGACGACGGTAATTTATAATTATAGTTCAGAACAGAATTCGAGGAAACATTAAAATTCCAAATACAGCATTATGAAAATCACAATGAAAATTGTCATCAAATTGACAAACCCGGTATTCACCGATTTTAAATCAATACCAACACCGCACCATCGAAATATTTTTATCGCAAGTCCATCCCCGCTTCAGCGGTTTTTTCGGACCAGAAATTGGCTTTGACTGGATCGTACGTATCCTACATACGTACGAACAAGAAATGAAAGGATCCAGCTTTTTGTTGATCTAATGAATCATTGAGTTCTTTGCGTTACTACTAGAAAGCCTTTTGTCTTCAGCAGATGTTTCGAATCCTCGTGTGTTTCTTTTAAATAAGAATTTCCGTAACTTTCTCAAAATCTGTGTTGTCGACTGTACTTCAACAGATGTCAATGATTCATGCATGAGAGACTTTTCAATCTCGAACAAGTTTATTTTTTATAATTTCCGCACTATTTCCTTCTTTTACATTTTACTATTTTATTAATTATAAATGGTAATATGATGATAACTTATAAACATTGAAAAATACTCTAAAGAAATGAATAAACAAGATTAAAGGTTTTCAAAAGTAATTATGAAACAATTTCGAAAGTTTACGTAAATAGACATCATGACCGTTTCGCTTCGCATGAACAGCCAGAAAAATAGCTTTATGCACATCCATACAAGTACCATACCCCTTCTGATAACAAGTCATCAAATTAGCAAGTCCGATTCGAGAACCAAGCTCATAATACGACCTTTTTGCCCAAAAAAGCGCAATTCGATCATCCTTCTTGGTATAGTCACCGACTAAATACAGGTCAGTGAGTAGATCCATTGCTTCAGCAAACCCTACATCCGCCGATTTTAAAAGCCACTTTAATCCCTCGGCATTATCAACCTCTATTCCATTGCCACGGAAATAATTTTGGGCTAATCGATGTTGCGCGATTCCCATGTTACAATCGGCGGCTTTTTTGAACCAGTAATTTGCTTCGACGAGATCGTATTTTACGCCTTTGCCGTGGGAGTAGAAGACGCCAGTTTCTTGGAGTCCAAGTCGATCGTTGATCTCTGAGGCAGCTTTGTGATACCAGTAAAACGCCTTTTCGTCGTCAGTGTGAGTTCCCAAACCTCGTACATTTAGGAATGCAAGTAATGTCCAGTATTTACTTTCTTCTTGTCGTTCAGTCGCTATTTCAAACAACCTCTCTGTTGGATATTTATTTTCTTTTAGGTATCTTTTGACTTCTCGTTCAATGACGTCATCATATTGCCAAAGCATATTTCTTTCAATAAGAATTTCCGAGACTTTGTCGATTATCCGTGTGTCTTTTTCGTCGTCTAGTTCTTGCATTTCAGTATTTTCTGTCAATGGTTCATGCACGGTGATGTCGTCCATTTGGTGATATTTTGATATTTAATATTTAATATTGGGGAATATTTTATAAAGTTTGTTTGCAATTATGTACGCTAAGCTTTTTCCCAACGGATAACAAATGCAGTAATATTTCATGTATACGTACTATCACACTATCACATGCTTATATAATATCCTAAATATAGTACTTCATGTAATACTAAAATGTCGTTCATGAATCATACGATACGATAACTGATAAAAATTTTCTTACCGTTACGAAATTTTATTATTTTTTAGAAAACGTGAAATAAATACCAATTTCATTATTCAAAGGCTTTTAAAGAAATACGATTATCTGCGAACAAGTAAAAGTTATCTATCAAAAAAAAAAGAATCTGTTTATGCATCGCTAAAATTATTAGTTTTTAGATAAAACCTATTATCTTTATAAATTAAAGCACTATAATCTATTTCTAATGATCTGATAAAGTTACCGGTCAAATTTTGAAAATTTTGTCTCTACATTGAGTTTAAAGATTTTAAAAATTGAAACAAATTGTTGAGTATAGATTACTTGAACCATATAATAAAGATACGAAATTTACAAGTAATTTTTGTTGCAGGACAAAAGAACGCGCATCACCCACCCCTATCGCAATATTAAAAACAGAGATGCGCTTATAATGCGTACCTGATAGAAGTAAGAGAGTATATAAACATGCTTTTGCAAGAAGAATTTCACTTTTGTTGGCTTTAAGAAATTATTCACGAGCTTTCTTCTCATTTGCACCAATCATATATCAGATTACAATTTAGGATGTGCGCCAATGTTGAGCCGTGGAATACATGTATATGGAACTACACGCATCAAATCATTCACAAACTTATTTTGATTCAACTTCGACTGTTACTAGTATGCTGTGTCCATTTTCTTGTTATAATATGATCATTGACTTTTTTGTTTGTAATTTGAAAATTTCGCATTTAAAGATTTCATGCATTTAAAATTATTTGTGCATTGTTTTCTTCTGTTTTGGATATAAACTTAGTAAAAAAATCCATTCTATCGATAATTCTACTACTATCAATGATTATTGATATCTTAGAACACCAGTTCCTTTCTTCACTTCATAACTTATACCAAGCTTTCATTGTTCATTAGCATTTCCGTTCTCTGCCGACTTCAAATATCTCTCAAATACATTTTGTGTATCGATTCCGTTTTGATAACATAAACCAAAATCGGTTTGACCAGCTGATTTCAGATGCTTTTTCTCATCAACCAAAATACCCTTTACTGATTTCAGATATCACTCGAACACTTTCCTCTTATCTTTCCATAACAAACACCTAGATTACATTGTTCAGCTGCATCTCCACTCGAATGCTTTTCTCTCATTTTTTTGTGTTCCTATTCCATTGCTAATTTTAGATACATTCAAACCTCGTTATAGTGAAAACATTGGGGTAAGGGAAAAAATCTTCACTACACTATAGCTTATATCGAGAGAATATTATATAGCTTCACTATATCGAGAGTGAGTTGTACCCTCAAATGCTTTTCTCTTATCTTTTTGTGTTCTATTCCACTTTTATAACAAAAACCAAGATAAATTGTCCTCTAGCACATCCATATTTGGCGGATTTCGAGTATCACTCAAATGCTTTTCTATCATCTTTCTCTGTCCAAATACCATTACAATAGACGAAACCAAGACTATATTTTTCGAAAATCTCCCCCGCAGACTTAATATACCACTGAAATGCTTTTTCGGGGTCTCTTTGCACTCCTATTCTTCTTCATAACACTTTCCAATTGTTGATAGCATGATTGTTGATTGCTGACTCTTCAAAATTTTTGCTGCAAACTCTAAATTTTTATTTATTATACAAACAGTATAATATAAACATCCAAGGAATGTTCGATATTGAATTCTGTCTTTAGAATTACGAAGCGTACTTTGATAATATAATTGTAACGAGCTGCCAATAGCTAAATCATCTCTATTGTAATCAAGTTATTTACCTAGCGAATTTAATAAATCATCAATAATAATTTCAGACGCGTTTTTTTGGATTGAAAGGTCTTCATGATAATATGCTAAATACTTTCTTTATCTGAATGTTCTGATTAGAGTTTGATGACAATACTTCGGAACTCAAAGTAGATGATCCTTAAGATGAAATTTCAGGCGCAAAAACAGGAGATTCTGGTAGTGACCAAACTATTGCTTTTAGGTTTTGATTTACTTTATTTATAGTTGGACAATTTGCTGGTGTTTTGATAGAGCTCGACATATTCAGGAGGAGTTCCAAATATTTCTCAAGAACATTTTCATGAACGTATCCATATATATTAGATGGATGGCGACCGCTAGAAATCATCAATAATAATACACCAACACTAAAAATATCCGACTTTTCGTCTCGTCCAAATTTATTCAGATCCTTTAGAAAAGCTGGATCAATATAGCTCATAATTCCATAATCAGTTCTCGAATTGAATCATCATCGTTTGAAAGTTTGAATAACCCAAGTCTGCAATTTTGATTTCTCCGTTATGAGCAAGGATATTATTATGGTTCTTTGATATGGAAAAATTGAATGAAAGATTAAATTCTACTCGATTCTTACTAAATCTCTATGAATAATGCCTTCGTCGTGCATACCCTTTATCCCTTTTGCAAGTTGTTGGGCCAAAGACAAATTATCAGTTCCTTTCAATTTTTTGCCAGATAATCTCGAAGGGTCCCGCTATCGACATAATTAAAAACCAACATGTGTTTTTGAAGATTGGGATCTGATAGAATCGAAGTTTATAACATTATTCATAGATTTTACAGATAAAGATAAGATGTTTAATTGTTACATTTACCTTTAGTAATCCATAAAAATCAATAATTTTGGATGATAATGAACTTGAATAAGGACTTTTAACTAATTGATATATAGAGTTTTATCGGATTTTTATTATTTGTGGTGGTTTGATTAATCTACCTCCTTTGATAGTTTTTATTTTTTACATAAAATCCTTTTATAGCTACCGTCAAGTTTAAAGTTGCTTTATATACTTCGCCAAAGTGTCCATTCCCAATTAATTCTTTAGCTTTTTAAGCATTAACGATAAAATCAAAATATTTGAGATGTTTTTCTGAAATTGCAATTTCTACGTATCCATGAACATGATAAAGACATTTGTGTTACGTAGTTGTTTAAAGAACGCAAATAACGATAATGATAACGATAATGCACGTTAAGTACGTACTACGTACCGCTACGTACTGGTACATGTAGAGGGTCAACTAAAATTAGGATGATCGTTAAAATCTTGAGACTTATCGTTATTCACCAAGTCAAAATTTATATAATATTTTGTACACAAATGAATACGTATTTTATAAGAAATATAAACCAAATTTTATTCATGAACTTCAAATAAGAAATTGGTTACAATGTCAAGGTTTGACATGATCAATGCTTATAATAAAAATGTTTACAGGATTCTATTCCTATTTGTGAAGTTATACAAAACGTATCCTTTTTAAAGTGAAGTGAATTTATATATCAATATATTCATTTTATTAGATAAAATCAATAGTTATTTAAAGTTTAGGCATATTAAAATAGCTAATGAAAATAAAGATATGAATGCATAAGTCCGGTTTAACGAAGTGCACCGTTCCAGGAAATTGTTTTTAAATTGGCTGTTCTTATATGCAACCAATTTTAGAAAACTTTCGCTTATGCATCGGTCCTTCGTAAGCTTTGTAATATTTTCAATATCGGTGTGGAAGTTAGCGATATACATTTACATTTTTTTTTATCACAGCGAAACTGGTTGCTGCGTGAGTGAGTCTCATACAAATTTTAGATTCTTTATAAAACAACTTTTACTAAATGAGGCTGTTGTAGAAAAACTTGTATTATCGTGTAGAGCTTTACTCAGATCTTTTTACCGATGGAAGGTGCCAGATGAAAGAATTATTCAGTGTTGTTGAGGAGGCTACATTATTTTCAGCCAGATTACGAATTGAAATCAAATGAATTACATTAGATTGAAAGGCACTATAAAAGACATTATGTAATAAGGTTTGCTTTTTTATTGTTTTAGTTTATTAATTATGGAGTCTAAAACAAAAAAAAACACCCATCTACGAGACTTTTATGAAACGTGCACATTAGTTTACAGAGTAAATAGAATTTAATGATGCGGCTTGAATTTTCGTTTTTTCCTGTAGATTGGATATCAGTGAGTGTATACTTAATTCTATCGTTTTATTCTAAATTATTCTAGAAATTGCAAAAATAATGAAACAGGTGTTCTCCGAAACAATAATTTTTTGGGTTGCTACTAGTAATATGGTACAGGAACTCTTGAATCGACAATGTTTCATGTTAAAAATTCTATCAACTTCTTAAGAAGTAAATCCAAAATTTAACCGGTAGACATAACGATAATGTCTATATCAGCCCTCTTCGTCTCGATTGATGACATCTTTCCTCTTTTATTTGATTCTTCCAGCAAGGACGTTTTATGCTCTTTGAAAAATTGTTTTTGTTAAAAAATAAAATAGTATACAATATTTTAAAACGTTGAGACTATCTTTAACGAGAAAACTTACGCTGTGTTTGGTTCTTTCATACATCTTCATGTATATCCTTTTTTCAAATTCCAAAATTCATGCGTTTTCCCGTGTTGATGGTCAGCATATTTACACATGCTTTGTGGATGTCCAGCTTTTGTTGCTTTCTCATCGTACTCCATGAATTTATGATGGTCGAAGGAAGTTTCGCAACCTGTGCGAAAGCACACTCTTACTTGTAGTGTCTGAATGGTTTTCTTTAAAGTGGCGTTCCTATGCTGTAGTGATTAGCAGTATCTGAGTAGGCTTTCTTGAGGTTATGGTTGATGACAATGACGCGAATTTTGTAAATACGAGCAACAGTTGAAGTTTCTGTTTCCGTTTTTTAGCTTTTTTGATTATCGTTATG